AAATTGCAAACTTTTACATTCAGAGCCATTTTCCATTAGTGCTTGTACAGGAGAAGTATTTCAAACAAGAAGCCACAAAGCACTTTTAAAACTATGTTCAAATTCTAGCAAGAAGATTTAAGGTAGAGCAAATGTTCTGCTCCGAATTTGGATCCCACAAACAGTGAGCACACTTCATGAAGAACATACTTACATTTTCTTACACATAAATATGTTTGTCATACCAGAACCATTGAGACAAATAACTATGTTCTGTTGGGAAATGTATCTTTTCTCTCTGTATTGTAAAGAATGTGTTATAATTATTCTTGTTTTACAGTTAAGAGCATTTTTATGGTATAGGAAGCTTCTGCCTACTGAAATAGCATATGCTATTTAATTACTTCGAAGCTCTTTACCAATATAAAGATCTCCTAATACTCATTAGCAAATAAATTCTCCAAATATCTGCTTTTGTTATGGCATTATTTCCTTAACAGGGAAGCATAACATGGTTTTGAAATCCTATCAAGGGAAAGAATAATTGCCTGTAGGAAAGTGTGTTCTACGGATTTCTACTCCTGCCTGGTAACCAGGAGAGACCCACATATAAACATTCCTCAAAAGTTTGTAGATTCTTTGAAAGGTCAATATGCATACCATACATTTACACAATCAATACTAGAAATCCCAAGGAAAGCAATGGTTCTGAGCAATAAAGAACTTTAAAGAAGGAAGATATTTAATTATGTAAGGACTTATAACTTCAAGGGTGCTTAAATTGAGTTCTTTTAAAATTATTTATCCAATTGCAGCTGTATTAGTCAGGACTCTGAAGTTTAAAGGACAGAATCCCAATTCAAACTGACAATTCCATAGGTCAGTGGTTGAGCATTGACCTATGAACTAGGGGTAAGTTTGATTACCAATCAGGGCACATGCCTGGTTTGGGGGCTCGATCCCCAGTAGCAGGCGTGTAGGAGGCACTCAACCGATGATACTGTCATCATTGATGTTTCTATCTCTCCCTTAAAAATATGTATTTTTAAGCCCCAGACAGGTCCTTGCTCTGGCCTTGACTAGCCTTGTGACCTTTGGCTAATTCTTAAGCTCTAGAATCTTGGTTAAATCATTTGTAAAATAAAAATGCCCTCTTCCTTACAAGGTTGCTGTGAAAAAGAGAAGGAATGTATATAAAATATAGTGGCCGCTTACTAGAGATGTTCAATTATTATTGTAGGTGAGGGACCACTACCTTTGGGCAACCTTGAAGGACTGGAATCATGTCTAACGCTCATATTAGATCAAGGGCTGTGAGAATTGAAGAACAAAACATGACTCCTCAGAGGATCTGAATAGACACTTCTCCAAAGAGGACATATAAATGGCCAATAGACATATGAAAAGATGCTCAATGTCACTAATCAGAGAGATGCAAATTAAAGGCAAATGAGATATCACCTCACACCTGTCAGAATGGCTATCATCAATAAATTAACAAACAAGTGTTGGCGAGGATGTGGAGAAAAGGGAACCCTAAAGTGCACTGTTGGTGGGAATGCAGATTGGTACAGCCATTATGAAAAATAGTATAGTTTCCTCAAAAAATTAAACATGGAACTGCCTTATGACACAGTGATGTCACTTCTGGGTATATATATCCAAAGAAACCCCAAAAACACTAATTCAAAAGAATATATACACCTCTATGTTCATTGCAGCATTATTTATAATAGTCAAGATATAAAGCAACCCAAGTGTCCATCAATAGACGAGTAGATAACAAGTTGTGGTACATGTATGCAATAGAATATTACTCGGCCATAAAAAAGAACAAAATCTTACCATTTGCAACAGCATGGATGGACCTAGAGGGTACTATGCTAAGTGAAATAAGTCAGAGCAAGACAAGTAACATATGATTTCACTTACATGTGGAATCTAAAGAGCAAAATAAACAAATACACAAAATAGAAACAGACTCATAGAGAACAGACTGATGGTTGCCAGAAAGGGGGGGAGGAGGGGGGAACGGGGCTGAGTGAAAAAGGTAAAGCAATTAAAAACTACAAATTCGTAGTCACAAAATAGTCCCAGGGATGCAAAGTACAACATAGGAAATATAGTCAATAATATTGTAATAACTATGTATAGTGTAGCTGGGTATTTGAAATATTGGGGGGACCACTTTGTAAAGTATGATTGTCTAACCACAAACTATACTGTACACCTGACACTAACACAAAATGATACTGAATATAAACTGTAACTGAAAAATAAAATTAAAAACAAACGAAACCATGACCCCTGCCCTCACTGGACTTGTAATTTAGTAAGAGAGAAAATAAGAGAAGGGCTTTAAGAGGTAATGAGAAAGAAGTGATGAGAGCTCAAAGAAAATTTCTGTGTGCCAGGAACTTTGCCTATACCAGCGGTTCTCAACCTGTGGGTCGCAACCCCTTTGGGGGTCGAACGACCCTTTCACAGGGGTTGCCTAAGACCATCGGAAAACACATATATAATTACATATTGTTTTTGTGATTAATCACTATGCTTTAATTATGTTCAATTTGTAACAATGAAATTGGGGGTCACCACAACATGAGGAACTGTATTAAAGGGTCGCGGCATTAGGAAGGTTGAGAACCACTGACCTATATATATATACTCTTCAACTAGTGTTGCAACTTAAATGATTTAAGCACCAATTACTGTGGCAGAAAAACAGCTCTAACTGCCCAATTTTTGTAATATATTGAAAGGACATTTATTTAGGCCATCTTGATAAATTATATCAGCATGCCTGGCAATCCTATCTTCATCCCTCACAACAACCCTATTTATAGAAATAATAACTCCCAATTGAGGAAATGGACTCAAAGCCACCAAGTGACTTATTCGAGGCTACAGACAGAAATGGCAGACTGGAACCAAGCTCTAATCTCTCCAGATCTATGCTTGACTTTAGGTCAATTTCTCCTTCTGCACTTCTACAAACCCAACAAGTTGACTGGGCCTCTGTTCAATTCTCTAGACTTTTGAAAACTACTCAAGTAGTGATTCTCAATGTGGCCCCTGCACCATCAGCATCATCACCTGGGAGCTTGTTAAGAAAGTACATTCATGGCCACACGGGACCTACTCAATGGGGACTCTGGAAATGGACCAGAAATCTGTTTTAACATGTTTGAAACCACAGACCTTCAGCATTCTAAAGGAATGCTCTCATTATACCTTCTCTCTTTAACAGCCAAGTGTCTCTCAATACATTCCTCCTGAAGCTTTGATGGCCTTAAAGTTGACATTTATACTATGACAGACAAAAATGTCTACTCTTCCTTCCAAATACTTCATTGAATGTTACCCCTTCTCCAAAAGGACTAAGGTTACAGTCCTTGTCAATACCAGTACTGTCCCACCTTTGCCTTTTCCTAAATGCTATTTTTAAGTCAGTAACTCTCTGGCAGGACCTTTCATGCTTTAGCCTTCCCTTCCTTCGCTTCTCCTTTACTCATTCAATAATCTATCCATCTTGTCGGAAACCTATTTCAACAATACCCATTACTCTCTTCACTCCACATTCCACAAACATCACTAATTGTCTTTGCTCTGTCTTCAATGTAAAAGGAGTCCATGGCACCGTGGAACCTCACTAACTCCTTTGAGTATGGTTAACTATTTCAACAGGGAGATTGAAGTTGACCTTTTATGAACTAGTAGTTTGCTAAAGGAATGGATGTAGAAGTTTGTTCTAACAGAGCTCTCAAGTCTCCTCAAAGTTCTCTGCATCATTACTGCGTCTATATTTGAAGTTAAAATAAATGTAAAAATCCTCTAGAAACGGGAGAATCCAAAGATAGAGTAATTCTCAGTGTATGCTCACGCACATTAGTCTTAGATGGGTGATGAAATATACAGCCCTCTCTCACTACAGTAGACTGAAATAGAAATAGGACAAGTGAAAGATATTGCATGAAGTTTTAAGAACTAAAACTGTATGTAGGTCTAAGTGTTAAACTCACCACCAAATGTGATAAGTGGGCTACATCAGAACCAGCTTGGGGAACTTTTGAAAATTCCTGGAATACATTTCCTAATTTTCAATTTCAAAATTGTTCAGATAGAAACAGTGTTAGTCCCAGGTGTTTCTAGTGCATAACAGATTTAAAACCCACTGGTGCAGAGACAAGCTCCATTTTAACATTAATCAGAAGCACAAGCCAATTTAAAAGTATGCATGAGGATCCAGTTCAGTAGCTTTTCACCCTCACTGAAGCTGACATAAACACTTTACACAGATATGTGCAGGAAAAGTAGGTCCCTCATTATAGCAATTGATGAGTGGTCTATCATCTCATTGCCTTGATCCACCAAGTAGGTTCTAAATTGATGAATTACTGACTTTTCAAATTAAACTCCATGAAGCAATAGTGAGGTTCTGTGCTGCTTCTACTAAATCCACAAGGCCCCACGCATTGGTGACAACCATGTATCTGTATATTACTGAATCAGAAGTACCAAGACTTAATTATATCAGATATGCTGATAGTGTGACCTTTCATTTACCAAATTCCCACCATAAATTCTTAATAACTCTCCACAATATGACCCCAAATGACTTCCATCTCCAAGGCTCTGCATTCTTACTGCAGGCTAGCTTCCACCAAACCTCTTATAAGTCCCACTGCCAAAGAAAGTGACCCATACGCTTTCTCATACAGAGTGGAAAAATTCCAAGGCAATCTAGATTATAGATCACCCATTACATATCCAATCAATTGGGTGACAGGATCGATAACACAGGAATGCCTGTCCTAGCCATAGGTAACCAGGAGGAAAAATAGAGGATATATGGTCAAAGGATAGATGTCCACTAAAATTGATAAAACGATTTTTACAGACATTTCTCTTGGCTATAACAATTTAAATTAGGCTGTTCATAAGTAAGAATCATAATGAGCAGCATTATTAAACAATTTAATTCCCCAATTTAGTGATTTTAGCTAAATACATGAACCTTCTAAGGCTACTAATAAAAACTTTATTTGCAAATGTTGACATAGTGTTTAAGTCAGAATTGAAAGCAACGATAAGCAACTCCTTCGCATAGTTAATACCCTGACCAAGGCATAATAAGAATTCACTTGGACAAATATCTTCCATAACCTACCTAAAAACAGGATAGTTCATAAATTCTCTAAATTGTTCTTTTCTACTGTGGTCAGTCCTTGATCTTTAGCTGTAAAACCTAGTAAACTTTGGCATACTCTAATGCTAGTATTTTAAGTTACCGAAAACCTCTATAAATTTAGCATTATTCCTCAAATCTGGGCAGTTTTCTCATTCTGAATGCTTAAATCTTTAGATCACAAATTGAAATACCAGTAGAAAAACATTCATCTTTAGGCAAGTTGTACAGTTAACACATGGCAAGAAACTAACAAGAAAATTTAAACACCTAGAACATACAAATACTTGAAAGCATTAGGAAGTCTGAACTTAATTGGTACACTTTGCTAAACTGTAGCAGTTCCAATTACAGGAAAGCCGGACTGATATAAGGTTTAATGATTTAAGCTATCTCAAATTTTTCCCAATTCCTGACACCAATATTAGATTTATACAGAAGTTTTATTATAGTAAGAAATAGCTGTTACAGTGAGATCTGCAAACATATACAGAATTATATTTAAATTCATATAGAATAATATTTACATTTTTAAGTTACAACTTTGAAGTTAGAAGATGAAGTATAGCTTAAGTTTTACAACAACAAAGACAAAAATACACAAGACAAAAATAGAGTTGACAGTAAAAATATAACTATCTGTTCTTGATACAACATGTGGAAACTCTTGTCAGAAAGCTACATCTTCTTAATCTGATTGTCCAAATCACTAAAATATGGATGAATCAGTGCCATTTTGCCAGAAATTCGTTTGGCAGGATCATATACTAACATTTTCTGGAGGGGAAAGATAAAAAGGAAAAAGGTTTTTATTTAAAAAATGAACCATTAAAAAAAAGAAAGAAAAAACCTCCATAAAGCCTAAACTCTCTAATAAGCCTAATAAGCCATAAGCTAATTTTAGTGAATATCTATAGATGAACATTTTCATTAGTTTAATACTAAATTACATAAGTATCTCATCCACTGTACTTTACCCTCTAGCTCTAGAATAACCTATTTCTTAAATTATAGGTATTTTGATAACCTCTTTTTGCTATAAATTATAGTTTAAGACACTAGCATTCAGAAATAGCTTTAAAACCAAAACATACATTTAACAAAGATATCTAGTTAAATATATTTACTTTGAGAAATAGCCATCTGAGTTATTTACAACATTCCTGAAATGGTGGCAACTATAGTGGTTTCTAATGTAGCTTCCAACAAGTTCCAAGTAAAAACAAAACCCAATGCAATGATACAAATATAGTTAAAATGAGCCTTTAAATGAATCAGTCAATTTCATATTAATTTATACATCACCAGAAAAAGAGGAATAAAGTTAAATATTGACCTTAAATTTTATCTTCTTATTTTTGACTCACAGCAATGGTTCTCAACTGGGTGAGACTGCCCTTCAGGGGAGACTTGGCAGTGTCTGGAGGCATTTTGGATTGTAGCCACTGGGTGGAAATTATGTCCATGCACAGGACAGCCTCCAGCAACAAAGAAGGACCAGTAGCTAGACTAAGGCCCTCTGACTTACAGTATTTAATTTTTGTTTTCTTCATTGAAGTGAAAGTCTTTGTATTAAAAAATTACTGAAGTTAAAAAGATAGACTGGGCCCAGAATATGGAAAGCCTTTTACCTCAAATCAGCACTATTATACACAACATGTTGATTAGCAGGTAAAAGACTTTGGACTTCACTGCAAACAATTGGGAAATCTAAGCTGAATTTGGTGGAATAATGATTTATAAAGTGTGAAAGGTGCCCAGAAATGAACTAGAAGATATATATGATGACATAGCAATAGATTACTTTGCTTAGTAAACTGCCAAAACATTATTTTTTTCTGGAATCAAGTTAGCAGAGATTTATTATTACTTCCTCCTGAAAGCTCAATATTTAAATACTGTTCTAAAACAAACTTCCTGAAACAGGCCTAGGACATTTTATTTTTTTTGTCCTAATACTGTTTTTGTTTTGTTTTTCCTAAGAAAACAACTATTAGTTAGGAATGGCAATGTAATAGAAGGGAAACATTTTCGAGAACTACTTCAGTCCTTCTCCTAATGTTTCTGATGTGGAAATAAGGCACAAAGTAAGAAATGGGAGTTCATGCAGTAGAAGGTTTTAATAACTAAAAAATGAAGCAACAAAGGAAACACCTTTGACTTGGATAAACTAAAAAGTAGTATATAATGAGACAAAAAAGCTGGAAAGGAAGGCTACTACAAATCAGCAACTTAAATAAGAATAAAGGTGTTATTAACCCTGACCTTCCCTTCCTTTGATCTGAAGCTATTAGATCAAGAAAAACAAAAACGAAAAATAATGAAAACAACTAATTCATTTAATTCTCAAAGAAAATATCATACTAATTCTCCTCTCAAAATTACTAGGATTTCTTGGTATCTGAGATGGAGCTAGTAATACAATAAACATAACAGACATAATAGCTATTTGCCTAAGAATCATCAATGACAGTATAAAGGGCACTCCTTACCGAGAGAAGATCCAAGCCATCGTCATCCAAGTTTTTGACATGGGATGACAGGCTTCCTGGTTTCCACTTGGGGAATGTATTCTTATAGTCCTGTAAAGACTCCACTTCTGGCCACACATCATTGTTGGGGGTACCCAAAGCTCTAAAAGCCATAGGAAACAAAAAGTTATTAAAGCAGAAATATAATCTTATTTATATTACGTTGCCTTTAAAGTTCTTAACAGCTTAAATTAATAAAAAAAAAAAAATACCTGAAAATTCTGAAGAGTTGGTCAATTTCCGAATCCCCATGGAAGAGTGGTTTCTTAGTTGCTAATTCTGCAAATATGGTGCCTATACTCCAAATGTCAACTGGAGTCGAATAGCGAGCTGACCCCAGCAACACTTCTGGAGATCTATACCAAAGTGTAACCACCTATTACAAAGCAAATTTTCACAATGAGTAAATGTGGTGCATTAAATTACCTAAATGTACACATTTATATTTCATTACAACTGTCCTTTAGAAGCCTGTATGATTGCCTGTTTATATTGTTTTCATGTACTGCTTACATGCTAAAAACATGAAAAAGTCACATAATAGTTTATTAGTGGTCTAGAGCAGATTATTTTAGTATATATAATTTACCCAATGGTAACAATATCACCTTTAACTTAAAGTCAGTGAGTGAGGTCAATGGCATCAGCCATGGGAAAATGATATAATAGGATAAAAATGAGCCAAGACATCCAACAAGATGAGCAGTGCTTTAAGTTTTCATGTGGGGACAGTCTTTGGGCTGAAGGGTAGACAACTCCACAGAAGACACTGTTTGCCAATACAGACATGTGACACATAAAAACGTTTCAGTCAAAGGCGGGTGGTATATACAACGGTGGTCCCATAAGATTATAATGGAGCTAAAAAATTCCTAGAAGTCATAGCTTTCCCAATGTCATAGTGCAACACTATGCTTAAAAAAAATCATCTAGTGTTGTCTACTAAGTGCATAGTGTTTATCAAGTCTACAGTAGTGTACAGTAACATCCAAGGCCTTCACATTTCACTCGCCACTCATTCACTGCCTCACCCAGAACAACTTTCAAACCTGAAGCTTCCTAAGTGCCTTATACAGGTGGACCATTTTTAAAAATTTTATAGTGTATGTTGCTGTAGCTTCTATGTTTTGACACATATCATTGTGTTACAACTGACTACAATATTCAGTATAGTAACATACTGTACAGATTTGTAGTCTAGTAGCAATAGGTTATACCATATAGCCTAAATATATAGTAGATTATAGAATCTAGGTTTGTGTAAGTGCACTGTATGTTTTGCAGTGATAAAATGGCTTACAGATATATTTCTCAGAACATATCCCAGACATTAAGCAACACATGACTATAATCCTATACTACACAATTCAACATTCCCTTCCCCTTCAGAAATAACAAATGAAATGCCAAGTCATCAATATAACACTGATGAAACATGATTATATTTATACTCCAAAATGTATCTGAAACAGTACCCCTTAAGCAACAAAACCTATCTTTTAACCAATTTGGTTGTGTATCGGAGAGAAGCCAATCGGGAGACAGAAAGAAACCACTTGGTGATTGAATGGGGAAAATTAATATAAAGGATTATTAACTGTAATTGGATTGGAATAATTCAAGACTGACTAGTAAGAAATAATGAAAACTCTAAGGGAAACCCGTTCCTCCTGCAATGCTTTTCCAGCACCCCCTACTGACAAAGCATAACATCTCACCAGCTGGCAAAGGGAAAATATTCAGTGATTCCAGTTCCGTTTTTACATAGCATGCAATGAATGGTGAGTGCAGAGCTGTGGCAATAAACTAATAGGGCCGAGTGGAAATCTTTTTTGAGCACTTCTTTCTTGACTTAAAGAACAAATATAGAAGACAATCGAGCAATCACATATTCAAAAGCACCAAAAACACATGATTCTCCATACCTCATGTGTATATACTCTAATAGGTATTCCAAAAGCTCTGGCAAGGCCAAAATCAGCCAGTTTAATTGTTCCTTTGTCATCAATCAATAGATTTTGAGGTTTTAAATCTCTGTGTAGAACTCTTCTAGAGTGACAAAACACAATCCCTTGTAGGATTTGGTACAAATAACTCTGGAAGAAGAAAATATGTTAGAAGCTTAACTGCATAGCACGTAATGATTTTCTAAATAACCTTGGTGAGTTTGTTTCAAAGAAAGAAGTAAAATACAGGGAAATAATTTAACTACCAAAAAGCTTTTAGGGCTTCTGAGATGAACAAGAAGCATTTATATACAATATATCATGCTTGTACACTAAGACAAAGATATTCACCTTATGCACACATCTATATCCATATGAATTCGTTTTGTCTTCTTTTACTTATTTTTTGGTCCCTCATTAAGTCATAAGTTAGTTTTCTGTAGAGAAAGTTTCTTAAACTTTTGCTCTATACACTGATAACAATTCTATTTCTATCTTGAATAAATCTGGTCTTTTTCACTTCTATCTTTTATCTTTACATACTTATTTCCTCTTTGGAGACATTGGTCAGATTCCAAAAGAAATGACAACGAGAATATAATTATGTTTAAATAGACACAATGATCAGGAAAAACTTTTTAGTAGTTCAGAGTTGTTTTATAAGACAACTGGAAGAATGCTTTGCTCAAGGTAATGTAATGTAATGATTACAATAGTTAATCAAAACATATTCAAAATTAGAAAAAATAAAACCACCTGCCAACACCACTTGCCCCAGGTGTTTGTTACTTTGTTTTACACGTTTACCAGAATACACTAGAGCAGTGGTTCTCAACCTTCCTAATGCTGCGACCATTTAATACAGTTCCTCATGTTGTGGTGACCCCCAACCATAAAATTATTTTCATCGCTACTTCATAACTGTAACTTTGCTACTGTAAACAATATGTAATTATATATGTGTTTTCCGATGGTCTTAGGCAACCCCTGTGAAAGGGGTCTTGACCCACAGGTTGAGAACCGCTGCATTAGGACAACCTGTTCAGGTCCCCTCCTTGCAGCAGGGAGCTTTTGATAACAAAAAATTGACTTTCCAAGACCAGAATATCCTAGTTTTCAACAATACATGGTTATTAGTTTAATGTTCTCTCAGACACGACTTTTCATTTTATAATTAGAAGAATCATCTAGTAAAAATGGTTCCTATTAACAATCTAATCTCTGGACTGTGGAAAGAAAATGAAATACTCTTTTCTTCCTCAATCTACTTTCTAACACATTTCCCAAGCTACTCCCACACAACACAGGCGAAATACAGAGCAGACCCTTTACATTCACAGTGAATGAAGCGTAATAAAATTAGGCAAGCGTCTTACCTTAACAAGTGCAGAGTCCATGTACTGACCAGGAGGGATAGAATCCAAGTATTTCTTTAGATCCATGGAAAGATATTCAAAGATGAGATATAACCTGGAATCTTGCATGAGCACATCTTGAAGACTAAAAAATAAAACAATTATATGAAAAAATTGATAAACATTTTTGACTGTTCCAAAATGACACTTTGACCATTCCAAAATGACATTTCTAAGCTGACTGTTTGTTCAGAGCTTGTCTTTCCATTAAGGTAAATTATGGAAATAAATTTAAAGCAGTATCTGACCTTAATTGTTGCTCACTATATCCAGTCCCCCCAAATTCAGCTAAATACTAACTTGGACCTTTAGAAAGACAACCCACCTCAAAACACCAGCCCACCTATTTAAAAAGGAAGAAAGAAACTTTTCTTTTTCATCGAACCTAGCTGCCTGTCTTAGGACTCCGATTAAGGGATCTTTAAGGACCAGAGCTCTGAGTGAGAGTTGACAAAGCTCAGTGAAAAGGTCTTCCTTTTCTCCCACAGCCAGTTTACCTTGATCTTTCAGCCCCAAATACTAATCTCTATGACCCAGCTCCTCTAACTCTGTGCCTGCTTTAACAGCCTGTTTTTCCTGCCTCCAGCATTCTCAATGAACAATAGTAGGGTTCTGTTCCACTCAGCAAGGTTACACAAAAATTAAGCAAATGTAAATATTTCCACATTGAAATGCACATTTTAAATACTATGCGGAAAATGGTTTAAGTCCAGATATACCATACCTGACTATATTTGGATGACGAAGTTCTTTTAATAGAGAAATTTCCCGAATTGCCGTACTAGGAACCCCTTCCTCTTCACTTTCTAGTCTGATTTTCTTCATGGCTACTATTTGACCTGTAGTTTTGTGTCTACCCTTATACACAACTCCATAGGTACCTGGAATAGACAAAGTAAATGTCTGCTATGGGATACCCCGCCGTGAAATAAGCAAGATTTTGAAAATGATTGAGTCCCATAAGGTGTCACATGATAGAAATGGCTGCTCTGTCCAGATAGGAAGTATCTTACTCATAATTAATACCCTTATCACTTACAAAAAGAAATTGAGGATAGCTGCAACCTACTGCATCTACAATTGAAAAATAGAATTCATGTAGTCATCACAAGTTTTCCATACATTTAAATTACCAGTAATTTTCCAGCACGTTAGAGCAGAAAATGTATACTTTGCAAACTGAAATTTATCTCTTGTCTTATATCCTACCCCCAATAACATAGGCATAAAATACAATGTAAAGATTTGGGCTCAGGAAATAATATTAACAGGAGTCATTGTGACACTTTCAGAAAACTCTGTAAAAGGTTCTCTATGAATTTCAAATAGTCAATAACCCTCATCCAGAAAACTGTTCTTCAAACAGAACCCACATAAATTGGATTCTAGTAGCAGATTATTTTGTATAAGCTATATCATTTGTCCTTGAAGAGTTTAGAATGTCATACCAACACTCATATATGAAACTTAAGATATTCGGGTGGCTCAAGTGGTTAGAGCGTGGGCTCTCAGACAGAAGGGTTGAGGGCTCATTTACTGGTCAAGAGCAAGTGCTTGGGTTGCAGGTTTGATCCCTAGCATCTAGGTGCACACAGGAGGTAACCAGGCAATGTCACATTGATGTCTCGATGTCTCTCTCTTTCTCTACTCTCCCTCCCTTCCACTCTCTCTAAAAAAGATCAATGGAAAAATATCCTCGGGCCCAGCCAGTACGGCTCAGAGGTTAAGAGTTGACCTATGAACCAGGAGGTGTCAGTTCAATCCCCAGGCAGGGCACATGGCCAGGGTTTCAGGCTCAATCCCCAGTAGAGGGTATGCAGGAAGCAGCTGATCAATGATTCTCATCATTGATGTTTCTCTCTCTCTCCCTTCCTCTCTGAAATCAATAAAAATGTATTTTTAAAAATATCCTTGGGTGAGGATTAACAAAAACAAAATAAAACAAACCAACCTTAAGATATTCTTTTGGGGGAGAGAGGAAGAGCCAAAGGGGCATTTTTATCCCCCATTTATACCATATAGATCAGTGGTTCTCAACCTTCTGGCCCTTTAAATACAGTTCCTCATGTTGTGACCCAACCATAAAATTATTTTCGTTGCTACTGTTATGAATCGTAATGTAAATATCTGATATGCAGGATGGTCTTAGGCAACCCTTGTGAAAGGGTCGTTCGACCGCGGTCGCAACCCATAGGTTAAAGAACCGCTGATATAGATAAACATTCTTTAAAAACCTCTAATGAAATTACTAGATAGGGAATGATATATATTACTGGTTTTAAAGCAGCTTAAATATGTACACATGACAAATCATTTTAACCTAGGGTAACTAAATAAAGTTTCTTTAAATTAGTTTAATAGTGAATTATCTAAACCAGTTCAGACAATTTATTTTTTTTTAAAATATATTTTATTGATTTTTTACAGAGAGGAAGGGAGAGAGACAGAGAGAGTTAGAAACATCAATGAGAGAGAAACATCGATCAGCTGCCTCCTGCACATCTCCCACTGGGGATGTGCCTGCAACCCAGGTACATGCCCTTGACCGGAATCGAACCCGGGACCCTTCAGTCCGCAGGCCGACGCTGCATCCACTGAGCCAAACTGGTTTCAGCAGAGACAATTTAGGTAAACATATTTATCGTCTTAAAAATAATTTTAGGCGACTAAAAGTATATTATGTAACTTAACATAATTCTACTGACCTAACTTTTCCCAACATATATATAAGAAGTCAATAACCAATACTTATCAAAATATTGTTTTAATTAGAATATTGTTTAGTAGTAGAATATAAGATTATTGGGCAGGGAGGTTGTCAGGGAATCATCAGAATAATTTCAATTCTCTTGAAATGTGAACATTTTTTTTATTTTTGTGTTTAAGTTATTATATAAAGAACATATCTATGCCCTAACCCAGTGATGGCAAACTTATGACACGCATGTCAGAGGTGACACTCATTTTTTTGGTTGATTTTTCTTTGTTAAATCAAAGAAATTTATATATTTAAATATATAAAATAAATATCAAAAATATAAGTCTTTGTTTTACTATGGTTGCAAATATCAAAAAATTTCTATATGTGACACACCACCAGAGTTAAGTTAGGGTTTTTCAAAATGCTGACACGCCGAGCTCAAAAGCTTCTCCATCACTACCCTAACCGGTTTGTCTCAGTGGATAGAGTGTCAGCCTGTGGACTCAAGGGTCCCAGGTTCAATTCCGGTCAAGGTCATGTACCTTGGTTTCGGGTACATCCCCAGTAGGGAGTGTGCAGGAGGCAGCTGATCGATGTTTCTCTCTCATTGATGTTTCTAACTCTCTATCCCTCTCCCTTCCTCTCTGTAACAAATCAATAATATATATATATATATATAAAAGAACATATCTATAATAAAAGTGTAATATGCTAATTAGACTGGACAGCTGAACCACCTTCCAGATATCCTTCTGGACAAAGCCGGGGCTGCGAGGGCCGAGCCCCTTGCACAAATTTCGTGCATTGGGCCTCTAGTATATATGTCTTAATGCACATTAGTACAGGCAGTCCTCGGGTTACATCAGACTCAATATACGTCGTTTCGTGGTTACCATGGTTACATTGCCATCTCCCATTTATTTATAAAAAAAAAGTTCCATCATTTCGACATATGTACATATGTGCTTTATGGTTTTTATTATTTATTTACCACAAGTAAAGGTCAGGCATTGTTATCTTTCTTTAAATTTTTTTTTTTTACTGCTTCACTTCATTACTGCTGTGTATGTGCTCCATGTGAGTGACGTAGGTGCATATGTAGGCGGGTTCCTTACAGCGAAAATCGATTTAAGTTGCGCCATAGGAAAGGATCTCCGACATAACCCGAGGACCTACTGTAGTGAAAGATACTTTAAAGGTTGAATTTTAATAAATATTTACACGTCTTTATGTCACAGAAGTTATAGCATCATTAAGTCATTTAAAACTTTTACGTGAAAAAGCACTCACCTTCTCCAATTTTCTCTATTTTGATATAGTCATCCATAGTCAATTAATAGTTATGGCAGATGCTAAAATGAGAGGAAAAAATCATTTGATTACATGCCACTAGTTCAAATGGTGGTTTTAAGTTATTAATGAGATACTATATTAAAGCATTTTCCACAGTGCCTGATGCAATATTAATTTTCCACAAATATTAGTTATTGTATTAAAGCAATATTTGTAAGGGAAACGACTCCTGCAATAAAACATTCCCACAATTTCTTAGCTCCTTCAATGCTGGAAATATTTATATATCTTATACCAGTGATTTAGCTTCTTCTAATCAAATAAAACTTCAAATTCACACATCAATTTACCTCTCCTTCCCAAACAGAAACCAGAAGTATGTTTTCTTATGGAACACTTCTAAGGAGCACCATTGTGTGCCATTATACTCAGGTATTTCAACAAATAATGTTATTTGACTGAATTTTTACTGCTTTGTGGTTTTATGAAGATAATTTTAAGACATGAGTAGGGACCTAAAATGTGCTCACACTGCTCATTCATTAGAAAAATTGTTAAAAGCTTAAGTGTTTAAATTGCTCAAGTGAGCTTTCATCTTTCTCCTGTTTTCAGCAGTCACATACAGGAACATGATTAAGAAAGTTTCAAGGCAATTTTGAAAATAGAAAATATCACTTAGCACCCTAAAGGAAAAGGTGCAATTCCACAGGTAATTATACTGTATAGAATCTTCTTAAGAACAAAGTAAAAAAACCAAACCTATACTTGAATCACAAAGAATGGTTTAAAAAAAAAAAAAAAGCTGAAATGCTGCTGACAACCACTCAAGGCTGCCTCAGCAACTTTGCCAATGAAACTTCAGAAAATTAAGGTAATTATGCTTTGGGCTTCTAACACACCCACCACTGATAAGATTACAAGTAAGTCACCGAGTAACTGCCCCTTACGTCCTATCTCTCACATTCATCTTCGAAATCATTCCGGAAATAAGCAGAGAGAAGTCATCTTTTTAAGTCAGTTTTTTAAAATCAGCAAAATTGGACTACACTGGGCCAATCTTAAAAATGTTTAATTTTACGAAATGGCAATGGGCGACTAAGATAGTTGGCCTTTCTTCAATATCCAGATGCAATGTCTAATGCACATTTGCTGAGCTCGCTTCGAACACACTGCTTAAAAACGAACTCAGTTTCAAAGCTGCACGCCGTCCCTCCCCTTTCCGGTGGTCACATTTCAAAAATAAAGGATGAGCAGGCTGAGGCCCTTTGAGTGCCTCCTAGGGCTCCGCACTCGGAGCTGCAGCGCGTGCGCCACCCATGGCTTCCCCACCCCCCAGACTCCCAAGTCTTTAAAAGAATGTCGTGCAACATTAGTATGAAATAAAGAATGAGTATGAAATAAAGGATATTAAAAACCCACATAGGCACCTATCTGTCGGCATTTCCTAGCGTATCACTTTTTGCTAATCCCATAGTTTATAACATCACCACCAAGCATCCAATAAAAATGAAAAAACCCAAGTTCCCCATGGCTGTGTGCCTTAGCCAAACGTTCTTCAAAGCTGTAGGTGGGCAAGGCCCTACGGGCACAGGGGCAAGTCAGAGAAGGCCCCGTTAGTTCACCGGGGCGGCTTCCCCGGAGGCCTGGGTGCAAGGACTGGCGTGGGTGCAGGCCCAGGTGGGTCTTGCTTTCATCCCCCCGGGAGCAGAGCGCCAGGCCCCAGGGCCGACCTGGCACTGCACCGGGCAAAGCCTCCGCGCGAACGAGACAAAGCAAGCACGGGCTCGGCTCCAACCGTGACCCGAAAGCCTCCGTAACCAGGGGAGCGGCCTCCTCCTGGCAACAGCCGCCGGCGACGCGAGAGGGCCGCCGCTCGGGTGCCGCGGGCAGCCCCTGCCCTCCCCGGGGTAGCCCGCCCGCGCAGAGCTCCCCCTGGGGCCCCAGATGTAGGACACGGCCCAGCCTCCCCGCCGGGCCCCACGCAGACCCCAGCTGCCCTGCCAGCCTCCGGATGACCACCCGATTCCTCCAAGCTCCCCCTCCGAGTACCCCGAGTCGACCCCTGTGAGCCCCACAGGCATCACCCTGACCCCGGCCACTCTACCCGGCAAGCGACCCCGCGGCGAAAGCGGCGGCGGCTACCACGGCGGCGTCACTTTGTCCTTAACTTCCCAGGTCCAGCTCTGAAGCTAAGTGCGAGCAGTTTCAAACTCACCGCGCTAAAGGGTCTCGCATCCACCAATCAGGTGACCCGTAGACTTTCAAAGCAGCCAATCAGAGCCCAGTCACGCTAGGGCTGGGCTTCCCCCGGTGGCTAGAGCGCGAATGGAAAGGAAAACGGCGGCTGCAGAAAAAGCAGCAGGGCGGGCGCCAAGTGAGTCTGCGCGCAAGCTCTGTCTTTCTTCCTGTTGAAGCATCGTCCCACTGTTTCTAGTCACCAGAAACTGTTCTTTCTGTTTGTTGGTTTTTTCACCTGCCAATATTAGCACAATTAAAATTTAGTAGACACAAATAGCTCATCGCAAAAGTGATACTGCACTTGCATCGATTCCATTCCTTTCACTTTTAATGCTTAAAGCCCCCTATATATTGATGTTTTTCTAAATAGATGACTTTCAGGCTGGGCCGAAGGAAGATAATGGAACCAAAAAACCTATATACATAATACATAGACACAGACTACAGTGTGATGATAGCCAGGGGGAAAGGGGGGTGAGAGGTTAGGTGGAGGTGGGCAAAGGCCAGGGAAATGAGGATGGAAAGAGACTCTCCCTCTCCCTTCCTCTCTGAAATCAATACAAATATATTTTTTAAAATATCCTTGGGTGAGGATTAACAAAAACAAAACAAAACAAACCAACCTTAAGATATTCTGTTGGGGGAGAGGGAAAGAGCCAAAGAGATATTTCTACCCCCATTTTATACCATATAGATAAAAACATTCTCTAAAAACCTCTAATGAAATTACTACAGATAGGGAATGAATGATTATATATTATTGGTTTTAAAGCTTAAATATGTACAAATGACAGATCATTTTAACCTAGGGTAACTAGATAGAAAGTTTATTTAAATTAGTCTAATAATGAATTATCTAAACCAGTTCAGACAATTTAGGTAAACATATTTATCATCTTAAAAATAATTTTAGGTGACTAAAAGTATGTTATGAAACTTAACATAATTCTACTGACCTAACTTCTCCCCTCCCCCAACACATATATAAGATGTCAATAATCGATACTTATCAAATAGAAATTTTGTTTTAATTAGAATATTGCTTGTGGCTATGGGCGCACACTATGCAGTGTACAGATAATGTTTATTGAGTTGTACACTTGAAACCTATATGGTTTTGTGAACCAACGTCACCCCAATAAATTCAATAAAAAAAATAAGGTAATGGAAAACTCAAAGACAATGTAAAGAATATATATGTTATATATAACCATGCTTTGTTTTTACCTCACTTTTTATTATATTTTTTATTTATTTAAAAATTTTACTTATTTAAAAGTTAAGAGCAAATTTTTACATTTTTTACATTTTAAAATATTTGCACATCAGTATTTTAAATGTCGTTTAAAAGAAAAATAAATCACAATTCTTTAAATAACCCAGTATCAAAAACTCTTTCTTTCATGGCACTCTTCCATATCTTTAAGAGAGATTTCTTCACTTGAACATCATTCTTAAATTCTGAAGAAAATAAAACAGTAAAATAGAACTGCAGATAATAAGAGTCCCCTAGTAAGGATTTCTCTTTGCAGAACAAAGACTGATTAGCATGACCTCTTACTAATATGTATTAAATGACCCAGATTAGGATAAGGAATAAAACTAGTATATCACATGCATTTAAGTGTTTAATACATTTTCTCACAATGAGTAGCATCTGTCATCTGACCCCATATGTGGCACAAATTTTATGTTCCTAGGTGACAGAGATAGAGTATTCATAGTGGAGGTAGGAGTTTGGAAAATCTGTCTGAAACTAATAACTTTTAAAACTTACTTTTAAAATCCCAAATTCGCATTTTAAATAAAACCCCACTACCCCAGAGAAATGCTCTGGGAAAGAAGTCTGTTCCCTGCTAAGTTAAGGTACTAACTTTATATATCTTTCTCTCTGGGAGGCCTAAGCCACAAATTTAATTTCTATCATCTAAAAACAGGCAGTAATTCATTATATTCACTTTACATTCAACATAAAGAAGACATAAGCTTCCACAGCTGTGATGCTAGATTTTTAAATTTAACTCAGTTATCTTGTTTTTGAAGTTTCGGGATTTATTGTAAATTCATTGCTATTGTAAATTCATGCTGCCGTTTCTTACACTTTGGGCCCTTGAATTCAGTGTCTCTAAAGTGCAACGCTGTGTTTTATAGACAGGAAAATGAATCAGATACAATTCCTGTTATAGGTGTGGAGTGGGAAAACACAATGGTTACTTAGAATTCTCTTCTGGCACTTATGTCGTAAACTGCTCTAAGGTGATATGAGAACATAGAGGAGGAGATTACTAACTAATTCAAACAGAGGGAGTGACATTTGAACAAACAATGGAGGAAAATTTTCACATTTATATTTTGGTAAACTCCATTTAGAAGGGAAAGGACAGATCAGTGGGGACTGAACACAAAGTTTTTGTTTTGTTTTTAGACATAAGTATTGCTGTGGACTGAATTATATCAGTCCAAGAAATTAATACATTGAAGCTCCAAATCCTAATATGATGCTATTTAGAGGTAGAGGTTTTGGGGAGATGATTAGGATTAAATAAGACTATGAAGTTGAAGCCCTTATTATGGGATTAGTCCTTTTATACGAAAAGACATCAGAGAGCTCAATTATGTGAAGACACAGCAAGAGGGCTCCATCTGTAAGCCAGGAAGAGAGCTCTCATCAGACTCAACCATACTGGTCACAGACTTCTAGCCTCCAGGACTGGGAGGAAATGAATTTCTGTTGTTTAAGCCACCCAGTCTGTGCAATTTTGCTATGGCAGTCCAATGGATTAATGGAACTATTTTTTTCAGATACAAATGTCTGAGAAACAGTTGCTTGTAACCATAGTAGTCCCCTCCTTATTAGTCATTTTGCTTTCCATGGTTTCAGTTACCTACGGTCTGCCATGGTCCAAAAATATTAAATGGAAATTTCCAGAAATAAACAATTCATAAGTTTTAAAACACACGCCATTCTGAACAGTGTGATGAAATCTCGCGTGGTCCCACACAGACGAGAATCATCCCTCTGTCCGCATGTCCAGGTAGCAGACGCTCCCCACGCCCAGTTGGTCACTCAGTAACCATCTTGCTTATCAGATCAACTGTCACGGTATCACAGCGCTTGTGTTCAGGTAACTATTATTTTACCTGATAATGGCCCAAAGCCCAAGAGTAGTGATGCTGGCGACTTGGACATTGGCCAAGGAGAAGAGTGTTTCCTTTAGTGAAAATGTGGAAGTTCTGGACTTTATCAGGAAAGAAAAAAACAGTATGCTGAGGTTGCTAAGATCTAGGGAGGTAGGAAAAGGAAATTCGGGCTAGTTTTGCTGTCGCACCTCAAACTGCAAAAGTTATGGCCATCGTGTGTGGTAAGTGCTTAGCTAAGATGAACAAGACATTATACTTTATCATAGGTACCTATGTGTAAAAACAGTATATATATATTCAAGTATAGGAATATCTATATATTCAAGTTTCAGTACTGTTCGAGGTTTCAGGCATCTGCTGGAAGTCTTGGAACATATCCCCTGCAAATAAGGGACGACTACTGTACATCAAATACCCTGGGAAGTGATGCCAGAAACTAAACAATGTGCTTCTGTGAAGTAAAAGAGTGACGGGCACAGAGGTGGCAGGGAGACTGCCTGGGCCCAAAGCCTTTTAAATCCTGCCTCCTGCCCTTGTCTGTGGCTTTGGGCAAGTCCCTTTGTTTCTCTGTGCTTCATGTATTCAATTATAGTACCTAGTTGTGTCATGTTGAGTATAAAATGAGGTAATCCCTGTAACATGTACTTAGATCAATGCCCAGCCCGCAGTAGGCACTTCATTCGTTTGATTTTTCCCAATCATGTTGATCACTTTCTATCCCTCACAAAAAGAGCTCTCTCTGGTGCTAGGCACCGGAACAGAGACCTGAGTGAATTGCTGGGGAGTCACAGAACAGGGGGGAAGGACTCTGGAGGAGCCAGATAAGGCTTCACCAATGACTAGATCCTTGTGCTGAGCCGTGTAGAAAAGCTGGTGTCAGTGTAAATGGGAATTGAAGGAGAGGAGCCTGGGTAGGGAACAGCAAAGGGAACAGCAGTGCCAGAGAGGTACAGGCTTACGTGGGACTTACAAAGGGAACTCGGTAAAGCTCAACAAATGGTGCATTTGAAGTAATTCTTGGAATATGAATATAATTTGGCCAATAGAAATGGGAGAAGGAATTTGGTGGGATGGGGATGACTATGTGGGTGGCATTCTCGATAGAAAGAGGAGAAGCAGGGCAGGTTTGGAGAACATCCACGAGTAAATTAGAGCCAGAAGAGGGAGTTAAGGGGTAGAAGGGTGGGAAGGAGAGTTGGATTCATATTGTGAAGAGTTTGGGAAGTCACTGTGGGGAGGTTTACTAGCAGCACTTCAAACAGTCCAATGAGAACAACTAAAGGTTTTTTCATTTGACTGAGCAGGGGTGATAGGATTGCGTTCTCCCTTTAAACAGATTAATCTGGCAGAAATGTGAGAAGAGAGAGAAGCAATATTGCCAGTTCAAAAGTCATTTCCTGCAGGAGTTCATGATACCTAAGGCTGGGACCAACTCTGTAAAGCTGATATTTATAAATCTACATATACTTGTGTGTGTGTGTGTGTGTGTGTGTGTGAGAGAGAGAGAGAGAGAGAGAACGCTCTGGAAGCAATGAGGTAAGGATACTATGACTATGATTCCACTAGAGGGTAGTAGAGACAAATTGGTAAAATTGATGAAGCTGCTATTATCCAAGTATCAAGCCAAGTATTTTTTTTTCTTGTTTTTATTTTGTAATGATTGCAAACACAATTCAATTATTCCATGGCTAAGAAAGGTATGACAAGTACATTTAGTGAAATGTAGCTCTAGACCAGTTAGTACATTTTTATAAGTCAATAAAGCTGAATTGGCAAGGCCAGAAAACTATCTTTGGTATACTTATTTACAGTTAATATTCTAAAATATATATTGCTATGTTG